AAAAAACAAAAAGATTAATTTAACTGCACAGATGTTTTCGGTGTTTCGCATTTTTTTCTTCCTTATTTTTTTTTCTTTGTTACCATTTTATAATACCAAAAGCTTTTCATCAAAAAATTTGGAAATGTTTTATTATCATTTTTTTTGCTCTACTTTGTCTATTTCTTCTTCTTCCTCAAAATCTTCTCGTCCTTTTTTTTTCCGAATTTTTATCAATGTTTAATTTCAAATAAAAAGTAGCATAAATAAATATTTCTTAATCAAAAACTTTTTTTCTACCAGTCTAGCGTTTCTTCCGACCGTCTAAATAGTTATGGTCGTAGTTTTAAAATTTGTGTGAAAATTATAAGCTTCAAATAAAGTTGTTTGATGTACCACATTGTTAATATATGTGTTTATCTGTGTGCATTTGCATTCACCAACCTTTTAAAAAACCAAATTGAAGATGACAATACCGATTTGAGAAATAGAAGTCCCAATCTTACTTTCTAATTCACGCCTTCTCCAATAAAAAGCCTGTCAAATTTGACTCAGTTTTTACATTTCATCAGTTCATTAACTTTCTTCAACTGCTTTGACTGTCACTATTTTCTTCTTTTTTTTTTTTTCTGCTCCTATTCTTTTTTATTTTTAATTATTACAGTTATAAATAGAAAGACAATAAAACCAGCTGTTAAATAAATTTTTATTACTTTTGTTAAGGTAAGGGTAAAAATTTACAGTAAAAACTGCAAAAAATTGAAACTTTTTATCAATAATTTTTGAAAAGCTGGTCAAGAATTGTGAAGATCTGAAGTGGAAGTTAATTTTGGTACCCAAAAGAAAACCTATGCCTTTGAAGCGCTTTTTATCGCTTGGAAACTAAAGAATGTTCAAGTGATAGAGAAAGAATGAAATGAAAGATCAGTGATAAGAAGCCAAAAATGAAATAGAGAAATTATTGCTAACAGATAACCATATAAAGAAAAAAATTTTTGCATAACTTTTCGGAATTCATATTCTGAAAACAGATAGCACTATTTGCGTTAAAGCGTGAACAGCTTAGAAATATAATTGTTTTTAGTATAACTGTTGCAGATATGCAATATACGTATAAACCAAATATTAAAATGTATCTTATCGCTATATTTCTTCCTTTAGCAAAGATTATAATTAAAATTAATACAGTAACCTGGTAAATTTGTCGTTATTTACTGTTTTTTATATTATATTTCTGGCAGTCGAAATCTGTTGGTTATATCAAACTGTACACTGTCAATGTTGCAGAGATTAGGTTTTGGTCAAGGTTTGCTTAACTAATACTGTTCAAATTTTTGTTTTGAATACAAAATCTACGAGTTTTTAGCAGTCAAAACAGAATCAGAAACTGATAATAAATTTTAAAAAAGCCGTGTTTAGTGAACTGTAGATAGTCTCAACAGTTTTTTGGCTTGCTTTTACAAACGTTTATTGCAACTTATTTGAGAGCTTTACCTAAGTTATGCTCATTTTTGAGTGTTTAGCATAAATATTAGAAAAAAAGTTTAAGAAACAAAAAAAATTTAGTCTAACAAGTTTTTAACAAAAGAAAAATGTTTTTTTGTTTTATAAACCTATGCTTTGTAAAACACAATTTGTAGTTTAAACACTTTTTTTTGATTTTAAAAGCTATGAAACAAAGAGGTAAATGTAGATCTGCAAAAAGCTTCTACATTTTGCTGTTTTTGAATTTCTGCAGAAAGCTTCTACATTTTTCTGTTTTTGAATTTCTGCAGAAAGCTTCTACATTTTGCTGTTTTTGAATTTTTTTTTGTATAGATGGAAGTGCAGCTTTATTATCTGTAATATCTGCCTGCCAGACTAAGTGCTGACAGTGTTGAAAACAGGAGACACTGCACTGGTATCTGCAAAAATAAAAATGTTTCACACTTATTATCAAAGCATCGTTGCATTTTTTTCTAATTTTTATGTACTAAAACTCTTCAAAGCTTAAGAACCACGAAAAATTCAAACTTACAAAAATTATTGTACCTGAGTATGCTGTACCACTGTATTACTAAAAGACTACATATTCATCAGAATCTTTTCAACTTTTTTTTTT